AAATGAATTGGGGGAAAATAGTGACAACAGTGAAATTTTTAATTCAAATTGTAAATATTTATGTCAATTGCTGCAGATTTGGGGTAGAAATCTCTGCCTCTGAGGACGTCAAGATAAATGCTGTTATGACACCCAGAAGCAGAGGAAGCTATTGAAGAGGAAGTCAAGTACCCGTTGTCTTGGAGCAGTTACCAAACATATTATGAGATAACCAATATCAGTTATTCCACATGAGTATGTCACATCATAAACAAAACTAATTGTTTTTTATCATAAAATTGAAAACTTATGAAAAAAAGGGGAAAAAAAGGAAATATATAATAAGATGTGATAAATGTTGTCCAGGTGTACTCAACATCAATAAGTGACTGATCTTTAAAGTATGAGTGAGTGAGTATGATTTTACGCCGCTTTTAGCAATATTCCAGCAATATCACGGCGGGGGACACCAGAAATGGGCTTCACACAATGTACCCATGTCGGGAATCGAACCCGGGTCTTCGGCGTGACAAGCGAACGCTTTAACCACTAGGCTATCCGACCGCCCCTTTAAAGTATGCCTAAGAATGCCTCAACATTCTGGAGAGGATGTCAGTTTGAGCATTATTACAACGGCCATATTCCATTCATTGGTCTAACAATCAAACAATATACTTATTTAATTCCAAGAAACAGATTTATTTATTTATTTCCAACAAGACAAACTGTACACGTTTTCATCTACCAATGTAATATTGCTATCAAATCCCTCAACAATTCTGAGATCAGAAAATGGATATTTCAAGACAAATCACAACTCTCTGTATTCTAAAACTGTTTCCATGCCAACACCACGACACCGGAATCAGTTACATTTTTGGGACGATGCGTGATGTTGGTGAACAATTAAACACAGACATGCTAGGAATGCATGTATTCAATACAAGACATCATATAAGCAAAGAAAAGTATAATTAATGACACAATACCTCTGTCAACTTGGATGTAAGTCCAATGACATCAAATATGTTTATTAAAAACTGAGTATCAACATAATAGAGGAGCAAGAATCATTCCTGATTTCAAAATGTGATGCAGCCACATCCTTACCACTTCACAAGTTGTCTCCCCTTGTAAGTCAAGTTATCTCCCCTTGTTTTGTAAATACTGATTCTGTATCACATCCATGAGACAAGACTGATGTTATGTTGCTTTATGAAGGAAGATGTTAAAAACCCTCAACTAAATAAACATTCTAATAAAGCTTTGAACATTACAAGTGCGGTGCATTTTTTACATTGTTGTAAATAATGAAATTTCACATCCTATTTATACAAAACAATACAGCTACTGCTGGTCACATGCTCCAGCAGCAATATCTATCATTACTAAAACAGTTGCTTCATTAAAATACCTTGGAACAACAGTGCATTCATTTGCATTCAACAGCTGACAGAGAATGTGAGGATGTGATGGAGCTACACAATACACAGCAGTTCAAGCAGTGTAAGGGAGATAACTCACTGCTACTCTTTGTGCTGTAAATCACACACAACACCACCCTGCTTTATACAGTGGAACCCCATTAATCTGGATAGTACTGTTCCCAGAATAAACAAATGTCTGGATAAACACCTCATGGACACATATTGATAATAGCTAGACGTTCTCAATGGTAATCATCCAGAATGTGGGATGAAGAATAATAGGGATGACCGTATTTGGCTATCCCAATTAGGACAGGGCTTGGTTTGGCTTGGTTTGTTGTTTTACGCCGCACTCAGCAATATTCCAGCTATATGACGGCGGTCTGTAAATAAACGAGTCTGGACCAGACAATCCAGTGATTGACAGCATGAACATCGATCCACACAATTAGGATCGATGACATGTATCAACCAAGTCAGTGAGCCTGACCACCCTATCATGTTAGTCGCCTTTTACGACAAGCATAGTCGCCTTTCACGGCAAGTATGGGTTGCTGAAGACCTATTCTACCCCGGAATCCAATTCGGACGGGAATCAAACATACATACAATAATGAGGTTTCAGGAACTGTGCAACTGTTCCCCAAGAGAGGGCATCACCAGTTAGTACAGCTAGTACAGCCACTATGAGACTGCTCCGTTGTCTGTACGGCCAGCAGGGAGGCAGGTGAACCCACATCACAGTTCCATCATGGCCAACTCTCTGAACAGCAGCATTCCAGAGAAAGGTCTCCCTGTGTCTACACCTGTTGAGGTATCGGCATGACTAGCACATGTAGGAAATCTTGAAGTATCACATACCTGGTATGCATGGAGAGGGACCGACCAGGTAACTTACAGATGGGATGGGTGGGTTGTTGTCAGCCACAGAATATTTTGGGGTCACTGCTTCACAATATTCAATTTATTTCTCTGAAAGGAGCCAATTACCAATAACCTATTTTTCAGGACAACTTATTTTGTTGCTGTAAAAACTAGTGCAAAAATAATCCCAGACCTCCTTCAGAATACATAGCGGTCGGTCCCTTAGTAAAACTATTTGAATAATATTATTTTGCACTAGGGATGTCATCGTATATCAAGTTATGAATATCGATACTGTATTGATGTAAATTTATAAATATCAATACCAAATTAATATTACACTGACACGGAAACATTTACATTTTTAAAGATTATCATAGTTCAGATTGGCAATTTTAAACATTTATTAGATGAGCCTAGTTGATGTTAAGCATTAAAAATTATATTAATTGCAGATCTAGAAAGGAATTTTCTTATCAATACAGAAAAATAATTTTGTTATTAATCTATATGTTGATTGATATATATGCGTACTACAGTCTGCACATATATTTGTCTTCTCAAAATTCCAGTTTGGAAGAGTTTCTTACAAGCTATTTATTACAGTTCATAATTATCTATATTTTGGGAAAAAAACGCAGTAAAGATCCACTGATATGAAAAGAATCCTAAGAATCCGTTAATCAATACAGACAAACAAATACTGACCTGGGTACCGTTTCACAAAGTGATCCTAGCGCTCTGACTTTAACATAGTGGCTGAGTGACTATTGCTTCACATCGCTTTTAGCAATATTCCAGCAATATTTCAGCAATATCACAGCCGTGGACACCAGAAATGGGCTTCACACATTGTACCCATTTGGGGAATCAAACTCTGGTCTTCGGAGTGACGAGTGACCACTTTAACCACTAGACTACCCCCATCACGCCTACTTTAACATAGATTTACTTTTGTCGTAGCACTACGATCACTTTGTGATACAGGGTCCAGAGAATCAATTCACGGAATATACTGGTACAGATTGAAAAAAATATGAGTATTTTCTAGAGAAATATTTACAAAGATTCTGTTTGTTCCTAAACCCTGAGTATTTCAAGTAAGAAATATAAGGACGTACATTTGTAAGATATGACATCGAATGACCATTGTTTGGAACTGAGAAAAAGAGTATTGGACAGCAAGATTCATTCTACAGTATGGTAAGTACCAATAGCAATCCTCTTAAATACAGGGGTTGATTCAACAGCTGGTCCTCTGGACCATGGCTAGCAGAAATAGCAGAGGGCCTGCATGGTTTAGTCTGTGGATTCTATGTGGCCCCAACAGGGGGCTGATACACATCTTAGCCTACAGGTAAAACAAGTGGTTTTGGAATGAGTGAGTGAGTATGGTATTATGCCGCTTTTAGCAATATTCCAGCAATATCACGGCCGGGGACACCAGAAATGGGCTTCACACATTGCACCCATGTCGGGAATCGAACCTGTGCCTTCGGCGTGACAAGCGAACGCTTTAACCACTAGGCTATCCAGCCGCCCCTGTTTTGGAATGACTTCAACTAAATTTGCTAGGACTACCAAGTCACCTGAATCGCCTTTTGACAAGTGTAGGAAATTTGCCTTCCCGATACATTATTACCTTATTTGTGGAATACCAACATCATTATGTCAAATAACATACACATACACTGCCAGGACTTGAATTCATAAAAGCACACTTTAGTTTATTCAGTCATATTTACCTAACAGGGTCATAAGAATTGTTTGATAGGCATTTCTTAGAAGTTGACGGATGACAAAGTACACACAACTTTTGGATAATATTTATGGATTACAGTGATAAAGAAGATGTTATCCAGCTTTGACAGTAATGAAAGAAGTATTTGTCCATAAATTGTGTCTACAGGGTCATTAGAGAGTGTGAATGTTGAGACATCATGTTTAGAGCTATTCCAGCATGCTAAGCACTATTCCAGCTATATCACTGCAAGGAATGGGCCTCACACATAGCACCAAATTTTCTAGAACCAAGTTTTGATCTTTGGTAGGATAAAAACTACTTTAACCACTGGGCCACTCACTGCTCACAGAGGAAATATCTGTTTGGTTTATGGCTTTTGCCATGCATTGGTAATTAGCTCTTGTGGCCATTGCAACAGGAAATTGGAAGTTTTCTTGAATCTACCCCTGTAACTATTGTAACCCAAACCATCAATCTCATGACATCACTTCCAGGAACAAGCAATGGGTCAATACTTCACTGACAAAAACAACCCTGACTTATTTCCATGATAAATAGTCATAAGACTTTGAAACTTACTGAAATGTAAATTCAAGATAAAAATAAACAATAAATATTAGCTCTTATTATTTTACAAAATGAAAAGTAAAATGGATGAACCATGCATGCAGAGATGACACATAAACACAGCAGTAGTCAGTGAAACAACAAACGCCATCACTTAAACAACTTAGAAAACTTTTGAAAACACAAACATGATTGTTTGTTAATAATGTGTATAAACTCATAACTGTTAGAATGAGCTAAGTGATCAAGAAAGAAAAGCATTTTGTCAACCATCAATTACTAAATGAAATTACCAACTCAACCTTACTCAACCCAACACTGCTATTCCCAATACCAATCAACCACGAAAAGTCCCAATCATTTTAAATACATCACATGTCAAAATATTAAGTTGATTTCACTATAAATAAGGATTTTTAAAAAAAACCTGAATTTTGGTTGAGACCGAAAATTCAGATCCCACCATTAAATTTAGATTTTTTACTCCATTTCAATACCTTTCTGCAGGAAGATCTGACACACCCGACTTCGGACCCATCAGTGAGTGAGTGAGTTGGGTTTAACGCCGCTTTGAACAATATTCCAGTTATATCGCGGCGTGTCAGCTTAATGTGGGAGGAAAGCCCTAAGTGATGCAGGTCTCAGACGTTTACCACTTCGGTGAAACCCACGAGCACGGGTATGGTGCTGACAAACCTAGAAACATAATCGGGGCGAACCTGGATTCGAACCCACAATCCTAGGTTTCTGGCGTGCCCAAGGGACGCAACTCTGCACAGCGAATCGCAGCGCCTTAGACGACTGGGCCACCCATGCCCCCTCGGACACATCAGGTGACCACACCAACTAACCAATAAGCATGGAGGCTTTTAACTTCTCAGTACACGTCAGCGAACCAATCAGTGCAGCAAATCTGAATTCTGAAAATTGGAAACTAAAACAAACCAAACACGGCGGTTCCTTGCTATGTTGTGGATATTTTACGTGTTGTTTCATCTGGGACGCTTGGCAGGAAGTGATTTGTGTGGGTTGTCTTTTGTTAAGACCAAAATCTCTGAATTAGAGGTGAAATGACGTTTCAGGAAGCAGACATTTGATTGGCTGCGTCTGCTAGGGTTACCTGATGTGACCTATGAGGGCTTTCAGACCAGCAGACCAAGGAACCAACGCGGGAGTAAAATATCTGATTTTAATTAAATTACTCCAACTCTACGTCATTGGGGTGAAATAACATTCCCATGACTCATGCTAGATGGCCAGACAACTCCATTAGCAGAATAACATTATCTTCCTGCTGTAGCTTCTGGTGTTTACTACGCTCTGTTCTGTACGTCGGTAGAACATGCAAAGTACAATATGCATAGTACCACCTAATATATTCACATAGCTCCTTTTTTGTACAAAGTGTATACTGGTTTAATTCCTTATAGAACTTGTTTCTATTTTGAATACTTAGTTCTGCTTTCATGACATCATCTTTTCCGAATCCCATTCTAAACAAGAATGCAATATTAATGAATAATATTTACAGTAACTCTGCTGTGTAGAAATCACTGTTGTCATCTCGGGACATTCACCAGCAAACCAGAGTAGGATATGAATCTGAGAATATGACATTCGGGCCTCCATGAATTCTCATTTCCCTTCAGTATCTTATGACAAGTGCACCAGGGACGCAAGTGACACTGTAAACAAAGCAAGCAGGCCTTGACACAGGGGAGACTACTCCTTGGTTTGACAGTTGACGTGCCACCCAAGCACTTGTCTGTCAAAGCCACAGGAGAACAGATTGCACGTCTGGTTGTCGTCGGCGAAGGTCACAGAGCACACCATGCGTGAGTGACCTTGTCTGTTGCTACGTGGGAGGCGTCCGACGCGCACGCCGCTGATGTCAAACAGTCGAATGTGTCTGTTGTCGTGAGGGATAGCGATGATGTTCTGAGCTTGGGATACAGCAAGTCTGAAACATGATTGTGGATCAAACGATTCAAGAAAGGTGTACAAATACATTCATCATCATATTGGAAAATATTTTAAGATGTCAGAGGTGATTGTAAGTAGGTCAAAAGATTTTATTCTAAATTACTCTCAAACAAGTGGGTGCTAAAATATCACTTTTAACTCTGTCACATCCCTGTTAACGACTGAGTCAGTCTGTCACATCCCTGTTAATGGCAGTCAGTCTGTCACATACCTGTTAATGGCAGTCAGTCTGTCACATCCCTGTTAATGGCAGAGTCAGTCTGTCACATACCTGTTAATGGCGGAGTCAGTCTGTCACATCCCTGTTAATGGGGGAGTCAGTCTGTCACATACCTGTTAATGGCGGAGTCAGTCTGTCACATACCTGTTAACGACTGAGTCAGTCTGTCACATACCTGTTAACGACTGAGTCAGTCTGTCACATACCTGTTAACGACTGAGTCAGTCTGTCACATACCTGTTAATGGCAGAGTCAGTCTGTCACATACCTGTTAATGGCGGAGTCAGTCTGTCACATACCTGTTAATGGCGGAGTCAGTCTTTCACATACCTGCTAATGGCAGAGTCAGTCTGTAACATACCTGTTAATGGCGGAGTCAGTCTGTCACATACCTGTTAACGACTGAGTCAGTCTGTCACATACCTGTTAACGACTGAGTCAGTCTGTCACATCCCTGTTAATGGCAGAGTCAGTCTGTCACATACCTGTTAATGGCAGAGTCAGTCTGTCACATACCTGTTAATGGCGGAGTCAGTCTGTCACATCCCTGTTAATGGCAGAGTCAGTCTGTCACATACCTGTTAATGGCGGAGTCAGTCTTTATGATGGAGAGAGGGGAGCGCATGTTGCGGAGGTCCCAGACTTTGACCGTCCGGTCGTCACTGCCAGACACCACCTTGTCACCCCCGGCAAACACTGCCGACGTGACAGGTCTGAAACACAAGACACAAACAACTTGCAACATTCTATTCCTAGTACACTCACAAAGTATAGGCAGGGCTACTGTGAATGTCCAGGTGGAGACTGAATGGGACTGTTGATGTCTGGCACAGGACATGTAAATAGCTTTTGATAACGGCAATTGATGCATTTTCAGGTTTATTATAAATTTAAATTAACACAAGTACACATAATTTGGTGTCCTGTTCTTATATTGTGTTATACGTGTCGCCACTCTCACCAATATTCCATCTATATGACGCCTATCTGTCAATGAGGCTGGACCAGACAATCCAGTGATTGATAATATGAGCAACGATCCACGCTGTCAGGGTACGATGCATATATGACACTCAATCAACAGAGTCACCAGCCTGACCACCCAATCCACTGAGGGGCCACTTGAAGCCAGCTTTGCTCATCCAAGTCAAAGGTATAAATACATGTGCTGACAAGTAACTCATCAATAGTCTAAAACATGAGGGAGAGAGTGAGTGAGTTAAACGCAGCTTTGAACTGTATTTCAGGAACACTGCTGAATGTCCCTTTCATATATGATGTCGAAACCCACAATCACGGATTTAGTGCTGACATCATTATCAGGGCAAATCAGGGATTCAAACCCACAAACACGGGATCCTTGCAAGACTTACTGTGTATGTCCCTGGAACACGTTCACCTGCATGGCGGAATCACGGAAATCCCACAGCCGAAAAGTGGTGTCCTTTGACGACGTTACCACCAGTCGCTGTGTCGGATGTGCTCGTACCTCGTTCAGTTCCTGGATGTGCCCTGCCATCATCACAGGAGAACATTAGTCAGAGTTGTTTTATACAGCTGTAATTAACAGAACTTGGGAAGCCAAACCAGTGGTTGATAGCATGAGCAACAATACAAGTAGGGGTAAATCACACACATCAGTCAGGTCACATATGCCTCATTCGAGGGAAACTTCTCACAGAGAATGTGGTTACTATAAAGTGAATTAGGCTTACCACTTCGACCATAGTCTCCATTCTATCAGGCCCTTTCAGCTTACTTGGGTAACATGGAGGAAACATAAAGGTTGTTAACATTTACCACTCTGGTGAAACCCATGAACTTGGGTCCTGAAAGTCCATAATCAAGGCAATTCTGGGATTCAAATTCAAGTGCTGATCCTGGCATGACCAAGGGGCACAACTCTGCACAGCGAATAATGAAAACTTGAAAAAGTTCACTTGAACAAGATCCCACATATTCAAAGCTATGGGGTAAGAAAACAGATCTATGCGGTATTGTTGTACAGAGTAAAACCTGATTCAAGGGTTATTCCAATCCCCGCCAACAATCCCTACCTGATCCCAGGTAAATCCAGATCCACATCAATGACCCCTACCTGACCCCAGGTGTATCCAGATCCACGCCGACAACCCCTACCTGACCCCAGGTGTATCCAGATCCACGCCGACGACCCCTACCTGACCCCAGGTGTATCCCCACCCACACCGACGACCCCTACCTGACCCCAGGTGTATCCTGATCCATACCAATGACCCCTACCTGACCCCTACCTGACCCCAGGTGTATCCAGATCCACATCAATGACCCCTACCTGACCCCAGGTGTATCCAGATCCACGCCGACGACCCCTACCTGACCCCAGGTGTATCCCCACCCACACCGACGACCCCTACCTGACCCCAGGTGTATCCTGATCCATACCAATGACCCCTACCTGACCCCTACCTGACCCCAGGTGTATCCAGATCCACATCAATGACCCCTACCTGACAGTGTACTGATCTGCTCTCCTGTTTCCGCATCATACAAGATGGCCAACCTATCCCATGAGGCACTGATGACCTGAGCTCCTCCCACCATCCAGTCGGCAGCAATAACAACATCAGTGTGCCCTGTGAGCTCCACCTGCGGTGTGCGGAGTTTGTTGCTCTCCTGTACCAGATCACCCCCATCTACAACAGAGGCGGACTCACAATTACTAAGATCGCCCAGTCATCATCTTGCAAATGTTCATTTATATGATCAGACAGAATTTACAAAAAACGACTTTAAAGACGATGCAGTAAAATCACCTACCATCCCCAACATCTTCTTTCTCCGACCCATCAATCTCATCTTCCCCTGAGGAGTGGGACTTCTGTAACACACAGTAACAAGGTAGAGAAACAAGTAGGTGAGGTGAGGTGAGGTGAAATGGGGTTTAACGTCGCGTCCAATTATTATTGCACTTATATAGCGACGTGCATGCACGTGTGTGTGTGTGTGTGTGGCTGCTTGTACTAGTCCCGACTGATGCCGATTTATAGTGCTAGTTCACTGAGATACCATGTCGCAGTTTAACATCAATACCTCACTCAGACCAGTCCTTGTTTTAGCCCCTTAATGCCGAGCGCCAGACAGGGTAACAACAAGTACCATCTTTTAACGTCTTTTGGTATGACGCGGTCAGGGATCAAACCCCGGACCTTGCGCTCTCCGGGCGGATGCTCTACCACTAGACCACGGAGGCGGTCGAAACAAGTAGGTGGCAGAGGCAGTCAGTGATAAGTGCAACTGCTTCTTTAGTGAGGTGAGGTTACATGGGGTTAAACATCACATCACGTTCAAGATCATTGCACTTACATAGCCATGGTTCCCACTTTCTTCCGAAAAATTCCCTGACATTTCCCTGATATTTCCAGAGAACTTAGAACTTTTCCAGACTGCATTACACGGCCTCCATTATAACAACTGGGAGTGGTGTTTTAACTTTATTATTTAAACAGCTTTAAAATAGACCAATGGAAACGTCTTTTTTTAGATATTTCTGTACAAAAGTGTGTTATGTTTGGTTTAAGGAAAACTAAGTCACCAAGTAATTATCCTCCCCTTAAGGCCATCCATCTGCCACCATTTAAAGAGTTCAAACTACAAATTAACTCCATCAATCATTGCCTAATCAAAACAAGTATTACAATTTATGAAAATGGACTTCAGGACTAGGATTTCACAACTTTAGAAACATGAACATGAACTAATTAGTAACATTATAATAAAGTAAATACCATCACTACTTTCAGTGCAACATTCATGCACAGCATTTCACAAACTAACCATTCAAATATACATCTGCACTTTCAAAAGGTCACCAGGGAATAGATAATTATAACCACAACTGAAGTCACCCTAAGTTTTTTCCAATGATTTATCTAAAACTGATACACTTTTCATTAACAAAGAGCTTTATAGAATCCTAATTGCATTATTTTGTTTGTTCTTGAACAGTAGAACTTTATGAGATTTGAAATTTTACATTCAAATTGATTTCTGAAATTCAAATGGTAAACTAATACCAAGGCAATGTAATATTTTACTCAAAATATTTTAAATTTAGAATTTAGTTAGCTCTGGAGGTAAGGGGCACAAATCCCTATCAGCCACATTGACCTTGACCTTCATATAGTATAATTTGACAAATACCTCTTTTTCAAACGAATAAACTCCATTGCTTAAATTTGAGTGGCTGCCACAACCATTAAATAATAGAGATTATGAGTTCCAAGAGCAAAAAATCCCTGATAAATCCCTGATTTTGAAGTTTTTAGTGAATTCCCTGATATTTCCCTGACTGGAAATTTTTCCAACACATTTCCAGGTTTTCCAGGTTTTCCAGTGGCAGTGGGAACCATGATAGCGACATGCATGCACGGGTGTGCTCACTGTCCGCTCACTGTCCGCTCACTGGGCAGATGCTCCATCCACTACACCACAGAGGCAGTCATGCTACATGTGGCTATATGAATACATGTATGATGATTTATGATGATGAATCAGCAATATTTCAGCCATATGATGGCGACAGGTAAAGAATCAAACCTGGGACAGGCAAACCAGTAAGTAGTTGACAGCATGAGCAACCAGCCTCACAGTACAAAGACACACAATCTTCCACATAACACATGGTGACCAACCAAGTCCATTTTAATGACTTATTAAGGCAAGCAGGAGGTGCTGTGGGCAGAGGGAAACTAGATGTCTACACACCACTATTTCCGCATGTGAGGGAGGTGTGACCACTGCTCTCCAGATGTGTGCAGTCTCGTCCCCGGACGCCGTCAGCACCAGGTCCTGGTTAGGGTGGAACCGGATGGAGTTGACTGACCCCTGGTGTCCGGCATACTGCAGCAAGCACTGACCAGTCTCAACAGAGAATATGCGGGCCCGGTGGTCTGAAAAAGACAGCAAGTGCATTTTTGAATTCATAAACACACAAAACATAAACTCAAAATGACTCTCAACTTACACCATTACTTCATGTGACCCAGCAGCTTAGAAAACAAAAACAAGAAATGAAACAAAGATGAGGACGCCAATAATCTACTGCCCCCAAGGGCAGACAAGAATTATGATGAAGAAATAAAACAGTCTTCTAAATTGTCCAGGTCATCACTGTATTATGGGCACGTTAGGACACTGGCTTCCAGTACGTACTAGTTGTTAGCATCAATAAAGTAAGGAGATCACTGTCCTATCCAGACTGGCTGACTACAATGGCTACAACACACCTGCACTTGTTGATCCAAAACACACCTGTACTTGCCGTCCATAAAACACACCTGCACTTGCCATCCCTATAACACACCTGTACTTGCCGTCCCTATAACACACCTGTACTTGCCGTCCCTATATCACATCTGTACTTGCCGTCCCTATAACACACCTGTACTTGCCGTCCCTACGACACACCTGCACTTGCTGTTCCTATAACACACCTGCACTTGTCATCCCTATAACACATCTGCACTTGCAGTCCCTATGACACACCTCCACTTCCTGTTCCTATAACACACCTGCACTTGCAGTCCCTATGACACACCTCCACTTCCTGTTCCTATAACACACCTGCACTTGCCATCCCTATAACACAAATGCACTTGCTGTTCCTATAACACACCTGCACTTGCTGTTCCTATAACACACCTGCATTTGCAGTCCCTATAACACACCTGCACTTGCAGTCCCTATAACACACCTGCACTTGCCATCCCTATGACACACCTGCACTTGCCGTTCCTATAACACACCTGCACTTGCCATCCCTATAACACACCTGCACTTGCATTCCCTATAACACACCTGCACTTGCATTCCCTATAACACACCTGCACTTGCAGTCCCTATGACACACCTGCACTTGCTGTTCCTATAACACACCTGCACTTGCAGTCCCTATAACACACCTGCAGTCCCTATAACACACCTGCACTTGCCGTTCCTATAACACACCTGCACTTGCCATCCCTATAACACACCTGCACTTGCATTCCCTATAACACACCTGCACTTGCATTCCCTATAACACACCTGCACTTGCAGTCCCTATGACACACCTGCACTTGCTGTTCCTATAACACACCTGCACTTGCAGTCCCTATAACACACCTGCAGTCCCTATAACACACCTGCACTTGCCGTCACTATGACACACCGGCACTTGCCATCCTTGTGACACACCTGCACTTGCCATCCCTATAACACACCTGCACTTGCCATCCCTATAACACACCTGCACTTGCCATCCCTATAACACACCTGCACTTGCCATCCCTATAACACACCTGCACTTGCCATCCCTATAACACACCTGCACTTGCCATCCCTATAACACACCTGCACTTGCCATCCCTATAACACACCTGCACTTGCTGTTCCTATGACCTGATGTCCAGACTTGGACACGCTGACCTCCCACACTCCGTCCCGATGACCCCGGTAGACTCGGACCAAGTTGTAGGCAGCTGAAGGGGCTCTGAAGCTGGAGACGATCTTACTGGTGGATGCCTTGTACGTTGTCTTGATCTTCTGGGAAATCTGACTTGCAGCTGTAAGAGAAGTTTAAGGATAGTATGAAGTAAAGAGTCACTCTGGCCTTAAAGCCATAGTCATGTCAGCACGGTCACAAAGACAACTAGCAACTCCTCAATTCCCTGTCATATTGACACTTCACGATCAGGTTTCTGATATGTCCAAGGTTTCCGACACATCTGCTATAGTATATGCTATATCGCCTACCCTGCTGGAACCATTATCCTACCCTGCTTTAACCATTATCCTACCCTGCTGGAACCATTAGCCTGCCCTGCTTTAACCATTATCCTACCCTGCTGGAACCATAAGCCTGCCCTGCTGGAACCAATAACGTACCCTGCTTTAACCATTATCCTACCCTGCTTTAACCATTATCCTACCCTGCTTTAACCATTATCCTACCCTGCTGGAACCATTAGCCTGCCCTGCTGGAACAATTAGCCTACAATACTTTAACCATTAGCCTGCCCTGCTATAACCATTAGCCTACCCTGCTATAACCATTAGACTACCCTGCTATAACCATTAGCCTACCCTGCTATAACCATTAGACAACCCTGCTATAACCATTAGCCTGCCCTGTTGGAACCATTAGCCTACAGTACTTTAGCCATCAGCCTACCCTGCTATAACCATCAGCCTACCCAGCTATCACCATTAGCCTACCCTGCTATAACCACTAGCCTACCCTGCTATAACCATTAGCCTACCCTGCTATAACCCCTAGCCTACCCTGCTATAACCATTAGCCTACCCTGCTATAACCACTAGCCTACCCAGCTATCACCATTAGCCTACCCTGCTATAACCATTAGCCTACCCTGCTATAACCACTAGCCTACCCTGCTATAACCACTAGCCTACCCTGCTCTAACCACTAGCCTACCCTGCTCTGACCCTGTGACTTGTTCACTTACATCTCTTTGGCTTGGTGGTCCCATCAGGTTCCTGCACCTCTGCTGCCGGCTTGTCAGAGCTGGCGTAAGCCTCGAGTCTCTCATTTAGCGACTCCACTCTCTCTTGCACTGTCAAAACAAACAAGCAGTAACAATTCACCAAATGTTGGGTGCCTCATGACGCTCCCAAGGCAAGGGAGTTGACTATAAAATGCAAATTTCGTGTGAAGATCGTAGCACCACCAGTGGCGACGATGAGTAATGTCCTTTCTATTTTCCCCAAATTGGCCAGTCAGATTCCACCTATGATATCACTTGCATTGCCTTCCAACAAAATGGCAGCACCCAGTCAAGACGAACTGATCAAGTTAATCGAATAAAGGTTTCATATTCGGTGTCTGAGGCACCTAATGCATGTGGATTGTAGCATTTGAGCACCTTGATTAAACACATGAAAAGATTAGGAAAATATCTGTCAATGCCCAGTCGCCATGTTGTTTACAAACAGGAAGTCGATTTCGGTACACTATTTTGATTAGACTATGCATCAACTTGTCAGTCCAGCCATAACATAATATTCCTGCCTCAACATATGGGTGGAACAATTCACCAAATGTTGGGTGCATCACCACACTCGCCATGTAGGCTCAACAATTCAACAAACGTCGTCTATCAATTTCGTACAAGCCGCTGACCTGGTGTCTATTCTCTATAACGCTGGCACAGTTGCAACACACTAACTACTGAATCCTGAATGCGACAAAGGCCCTGGAAATAGTCATTAGTAATCATCAACAAATAAAAGGGAGTAATCATTACATGCCATAAGTTATCGTGATAGGGATCATTCATTTCATCCAATAATGTCAACAACTACCTGTCAATATATTTCATTTCATTACCATGATTACTTACATGCTATATTGGCAGCATAGAGATTTTCAAATTCCTTTTCAATCTGCCCAAACAGATCATACAGTCTATCCCTGAAAAATAAGAACATTCATTAATGTCATGGCAACTGCTTTATCCTTCAGAGAAAATAATTGGTAAACATTCAACAAGAATTAATCACAACTTACCCGTATCACTCCTATTTTTCACAATGTATAACATACCGTATCCGACGTAATAAGCGCCCAGGGCGCTCTCAAGATTAGAAACGAGATGCTCTTATTAGAATATTATTTTGGTGAAAAAAAGAGTTGAAAAGAGAATTTTGAGTTGAAAGATAAATTTCGTGGTTTACGCCAGGGGTCCGGAAAATTTAAAATCCCAATCGGACATTTGCATTTAGGCCACGCCCCCTTCAAATAGCGTATTTTAGTACGACTTTTCACACACATTACAAGTTTACGTATTCATAATATGATGAATTATGAATTGTTTCAATTTAAATTGTTTAATTCACCGGACAATTAATAACAAATAATATCATTTCAGATTTACATGGAAAAAATATGTTTGTTTCTGTTATAATAACGATCTGTTAACGTAGTGAACGGTCTAATTAATATTCATGAGTTATATTCATGAGTCTGCTCAAGTGTACGCGTTGTAACATTTGGATCAAGACTATTATCCCATATTTGGTTATCACGTGACCTCACGGGAAAAGGTGTTTTTTTAACTAAAGATTTTTTAAAAAACACGACAGATAATTTAATCACAAATACTAAAATATCGTTGATAGCAATAGTTATTTGAATACTTTTTTCATCTGTACTTAATTATTGACCATAAAAAAATTGGATATCGATCGTCCAAGAAAGCAAAATGGCGGTCAATCAAGATTCAATATACGACTAGCTACTGAAAACAATAAAATCTGCAAATCCTTTTTAAAATGTCCGGTAAGCAATATTTTAAAACGGACATTTGAGATTCCCAATCGGACATGTCCGGCGCATATGACGGTTTCCGGACCCCTGGTTTACGCTGACAGCCTGAAATGTTTATATTCCACCGATGTATTTTTCCAGAATTTAATTGCCCATAATTAAGGGTTCATTAATAAGTCTTGTGTACATTAATCAATCGGAAGGGGTGCTAATTGGGATTGTTCATTAGCCAATATATGAGCAAATATCGCCGTGGGCGCTTATTACGTCGAATACGGTAACCATTATTACAGTTTTAAGCTGAGGTCGGAGGTCTGTTGTCTGTAGGTTTTAGGACTTCACGGTAATCTCAAGAGGGGTCATACACTCATAAGGTCCGTTCTCCTCTCTCACCAGATAGGAAGGATCTGTTTTACCGCCAAGTTCAACATACATGGAATAATGCAAAGGTGTCAAAACTTCATATCATGTCCAGCAGCTAATATAATCAATACCATGCCAGTTAAATAATACTCCCTGTTTCTCACAACTCTACATAAAACCGGATAGAGAGGGAGGATTGTAGTCTTTTAATTTTCCTTTAGTAGGTCACAAATCTAAACAGTAAACTTGATTCTAATGTCCAGATATCAATCGTTGGAAGTATTTAGATAACAGAAAATATTTGTTGGTATGGCAATTTTTATGATTTTAAATGTAGTCACGTCATAAAAAAAAACAAGAAAATTATTTTAATAAGTCTTAGAAGCTAAGTCCCTTGCATGCACAATAAACATTTCTTATCTTATTAATGAGAAGTATACCACTGTATTTAACTCTGTGTCTGTCCCTACAGTTCATTACAACAGCAACACTGTAATCTCTAACATGACTATAGGGGCTGAGATTAACCCTGGAGTCATATTGCTGGAGGCAGAAATAAATCAATCTTAATATGGCCAAAGAACTAATAACAATTCCTCACATTATCAGTTTCTAGGGCATGACAAAGAACTCTCTGAGTGACGAGTTTCTTTCGTCGTCATAGCTACCAATACCCTGCAACATGGCCACTCATTTTATAGGAAACAAACACACAGAAGTAGTCTCCCCTTGGGAGTTTTCTGTCAAGCAGTGTGCAACACTATGAAATGTCAGCAACAGAGGTGAAACAATATTATGGTGTGATACGATACATATCCCGATACTATGGGGGCTATACAATACATATCCTAATACTGTGGGTGCAATACAATACATATCCCAATACTATGGGTGTGATACAATACATATCCCAATACTATGGGTGCAATACAATACATATCCCAATACTATGGGTGTGATACAATACATATCCCAATACTATGGGTTCGATATGATACATATCCCAATACTATGGGTGCGATATGATATGTATCCAAATATTCTTTCTTTTTACAGGTCCTGAATCATTTGTTTTTTAAAATTCCAGACAGATGCGATATTGTAGGTCAGAAACATATAGACTAGAGGGCACTGTGAATTTTATGTTATTTATAGCCAACTGAGAATCTGCGTAAGCTTGTTATTATTCATATGACTTTACACCAATATAACTTATTATACACTGTATCGTATGTATACAGGGGTTGTAAGCTGATATTTTGTATCGTGGACCTTGCATTGGGATACAAAACAGTATCTCAGTATCATTACACCAGTCAGTAAGAGGGTTCCAAACAAAGGCGTGACTGGAAGAACTTGTTCTTGATTTGTTTGTTAACGCAGCATTCAGCAATAATCTAGCTATATGTCAACCACTAAATGAAGTCTGGACCAGATAAACCAGTGATTGATATTAAAAGCAATGTCTCCCACCAGCGGGGTGAGGTATGGTGACATGCAACAATGAAACAGGTCACCAGGTGTGACCACCAATCTTTTGTACACAGCCAGTTCACACATTGGGAAAACCTGATCCTAATTTAATGACTTAAAATCATTGGATTTTTACTTGTCCTCTTTGGACTTGGACTAGCAGACTAGCGTGAATTTTCGTTTACCAGCTGATCTACATACAAACTTACGCAGTATATTCAAAGCACAATCTCATCAATATCAGATCTTAGTCCTCACTACCATTACACAACGTTCTGGGGTCATCGCATTACGGGCCATGTCAAAACAACCCTTGGTGAACTTTGACCCACCAATGAAATGACAAACAAAAATTCAACATTAGCCAATGAGAATGCAGCTTTATCGAGCTTTAAGTCACCAGTTTCAAACTGGCAACTTTCATTACAGACTATGCTTTGAAAAATACCTTGACAAAGTTCTCAATTCAAAATCTGAAAACTGATCAAAAGGATATTCTGGAATGTTTAATCATGCTAATCAATGGCTGAGATTGTATGGCAGTACTTCCCACGGGCTATGGAAAGTTGCTTCCATTTCAAATGTCTATCCCAATGAAGAGAAAGAGACATGATGATTTTGATGGAATCATTCGTATAGCCCGTACCTGTCATTCAGAATGCCCTGTGTTAACCTTTTCGTGGTTGCATGATTAGAAAACACATCCTAACTCTCATTACCGATCTGGTAAGCGAGGCTCTGACTGGTCACATGAAAGGTCGTTCTGATGTGACCCGTATTAAATTGGATGTCTTCACATCTCTGTTTAGCAGTAGCTAACAGTAAGATCTGATCTTAATGAGATTGGTTCCAAGCATTGTTTCAGTATCAATATTAGTGCATTGGCAATACTTGCTTGGCAAAGGTTCTAGTGTCTCTGCTGAAAAATAAATCACTAACTCCTGGAAGTCAATCCTGTCTTCATTAAACTTTCATGGCTTCATTCTTTAGGATAACATAATATCATGAGCTGTACAAGCAGTGTCCCCAGTGCATGAACACATCCAATCTAACATACCGCTGGAAACAGCCCAGCAACAGACACCCAGACATGATAAGAGAAATACTAAGATTCTGTCACAACACTGCCTTCATCACACAGCAGTGTCCCCAGTGCATGAACACATCCAGTCTAACATACTGCTGGAAACAGCCCAGCAACAGACACCCAGACATGATAAGAGAAATACTAAGATTCTGTCACAACACTGCCTTCATCACACAGCAATGTCCCCATCATAGCTTGGGCTTATAGACTAGACACATTAATTAGCAGGCAATTAACCACAAACATAATCTTATCTTGAAATATCTTCCATATTTATAAAAAGTTTATCTAAATCAGTCAATCCTTCCTTTGCCTTCAGGATTCATCGATCAGAAAGCTATCCCATTTTATTATGATTACCATATTTATCAACATCTCATCCCTGCTCACATTCCTAAGTAAACAACATTTCCCCAGTCATTATCATGACATTTAGCTCATTAGAACAGTATACATGTCAGAATCTTCAGGCTAAACCATTTTGATTTGCTTTGATAACAGATTTACCTGCTCCGAGTTTAAAAAAGGAAGAGAAATGAACACACTGATTTGGCATTACTAGTTTCAAATTTTGTAGAATTAACAATAAATTTTATTCAACATCAAGAAATTAATCCATTTATAGAAATGAACAGTAAAGGTCTCTCTTCTTGATCCTGTGATTGACAATTATTTAAGGCTCTAGTTTGTCCAACACAAAATATAGACTAGCCCCAGACAAGCTGCCAAAGAGCAAGGTGCATGTGTGGAGACACAGGGGAGACACAGGGCCGACTCGCAGACTTCTCACAGTTCAGCATGAGGTTCTTGAATATCTTTGAAATATGGTTATGAAAACAATGTTGTTAAAACATAGGTGCTAAGGTTCTTTGTAACATGGAAACAGGGTTGAAAATGGGTTAGAGTGAGTGAGTGAGTGAGTATGGTTTTACGCCGCTTTTAGCAATATTCCAGCAATACCACGGCGGGGGACACCAGAAATGGGCTTCACACATTGTACCCATGTCGGGAATCGAACCCGGGTCTTCGGCGTGACGAGCTAACGCTTTAACCACTAGGCTACCCGACCGCCCCATGAAAATGGGTTAGAGCTCTCAGACACCTGGTGTTTAATTGTTGAAAAGGTCAACGAGAGACCTCTGCATTGGAATCAAACCATTTTAACGTCAGGACACGGGGTTCTCATCCTGTAACCTGTACACAATGGCAGTAAGTTAAATCT